AAACTAATTAATTAAGAATAATAACTCAAGCATAAAGAAAACAAAAATGGAAACCAGATCTACAATGAATCATAAGTCAAGTAACTTCGTAACCATATTACAAATGTCCCTTTTTCTCTTCAACAGCATCGTTGGCGGCACCAAACACTTACTACAACTTTAAATATGTATATCTAAGCATAGGTTNGGATAACCAGGGTCTTTATACTTGGGTGGAATCCTATGTTGAATGATGGAAGATACCTGCTCAGTTAAAAATAAATTTTTTTTCACATTTAATTTTCACTTAACATTGCACAAATCTTTTAAAAATTTTGCATAAAAAGGTATTTGTTTTATAACATCCAACAAGNTTAATTAACAAATTTATGAAAACTTTTTTTTCTCAAAGGATTTATTAATTGATAAACCAAATTAAATTACTTAAAACAATGTATAAAATACTAGAGCATTGGTTGCACGCTCTCAAATCCACACACTAATTATGATGACATAGTTTTCAGGTCTTAACAAGAATCAATTTGTCAATTGATCCCAGTTGGAGAATTTAGCAATAAAAATATGAAAACACTATTGTTTATATCTAAAGGTTCATTTAGATAAATCAAAAAATTATTTACCAATTGTAAACATTTATTGTGCTCGGAGTCTACAACAAATCAAACTTCCTTAGCAAAGTAATTCTTGACCCATCCTCATATTCCTAGAGTTATAATATCATGTGAAAAAATTGTAATCAACTTAAATAAGGAATAACTAGTTATTTGTCTCGCAGGGAAATTCAAGAAATTAAAGTATAAGACACAACGATTCAAGAATCTTTACAGAGCAAAAATTTTAATAATAAACAAAAGCTAAATAAACAAAATATCACATATCATTAAACCATTAAATCAACAATATTACCGTACTTCATTGAGAGATTCTTCCCTAATTCTAATCAAACCTCTAGCCAAACATAAGGAATTCTTTAAAAAAAAAAAAAATTATTTAAAACTACAACAAAAGGAAAATATCAATCCCTCTCCCAGAATAATGATATTCTTTATATATCTTTTCCTAGCACTAGACAAATTCAAATCTAACTCTACTGTCAGAATCATCATCCTTCGTTAACATGCGTCCGAACGCAACAAATCTACTATCTGGATGCACTTGACAATATACTCTAATTCATCAACATGCTTCCGTCTTAACATTCTGGCAACACCATTTGGATGCAATAGCACTCTCTGTTGGACGCGGATTCCAATAACTCCATCCTGAATTGTGGCTCTTCATCTACCATTATAACTCTCATTTTTTATCATTTACTTGCAAAACAGATATACTTTTTTCATTATTATTATATCATCAAATCTTTAATAAATCACTACCTCTATCACCGNCCGTCTTAACATTCTGGCAACACCATTTGGATGCAATAGCACTCTCTGTTGGACGCGCATTCCAATAACTCCATCCTGAATTGTGGCTCTTCATCTACCATTATAACTCCCATTTTTTTATCACTTACTTGCAAAACAGATATACTTTTTTCATTATTATTATATCATCAAATCTTTAATAAATCACTACCTCTATCACCTTTTTCCAAAACAAACGATTAATTTTACCCATCAAATTATTACATTTTTCAATGATAATCACTGACTATCAAATTCTGCAAGATCCGTATGTGTAGTGCATGTGCATCAACATGCTTATGGTTTCTTTTATGAAAAAGATAACACTGTTTAGAAGTCAAACATGCATGAATCACTACCAGCTAAAGGATAATCATGTACATTCATTCCAATTAAAGAAAACACGCACACGCACACGCGNCTTTAAATCTATCTCAACTCTAGTAAAAATTTTCAGACTCTTTTTGATAAAAAAAAATCATTATTTGTCTTTTAAAAAGATTTGTACGATGTGTAGGAAAAAAAAATTCAAAAATTCTTTTTACATTTCTAGTCATGTGCCTATAGATCTAGGCCTGAGAGAATGCAACCAAGTTTTAGTCTTTTCCTTTAATGAGAAAGAAAAGAGCTTCAACCTGATTGTTTACACAGAAATAATTTGATTATAAAATGTAGCACAAACCTTCTCAAAATCTCTAATATGTAGGTAGGGGTTTTTAGAAACCAAGCCATGAAATTTTGGAAGTAATGCATGAAGGTGCACTATGATGTGCAGATTGTAAATATTCACGCAAAGTCCGACCTTGATTAATATTCAGATTGTCGACATCATTTTCATCATGATTACTTATTATGTTATCAAGATTCTCATGTTCAGGGAAATTATTTCTCCTATTATTATTAGGATCTACAGCCATTATGTGAGGTGTATGATTTGAATTAGATGAGTCAAATAAGTTTCTAAATAAAGTATCTAAATCCTCTCTTATCAATCGTTTACTCAAATCACGATGCCAAAAATTCATAAAATAATAAAAAAAAAATTAAAAACAAGAAACAAAAACTAATTAATTAAGAATAATAACTCAAGACTAAAGAAAACAAAAATGGAAACCAGATCTACAATGAATCATAAGTCAAGTAACTTCGTAACCATATTACAAAGGTCCCTTTTTGTCTTCAACAGCTTCGCCGGCGGCACCAAACACTTACTACAACTTTAAATATGTATATCCAAGCATAGGTCGTACAAAGTAACATAGACTCGAAAGACCGAGGTCGAACCCTCAGAGAATAGTGAAAACAATAGTTACCAAACTTAATTAATTAACAAATTTATGAAAACTTTTTTTTCTCAAAGGATTTATTAATTGATAAACCAAATTAAATTACTTAAAACAATGTATAAAATACTAGAGCATTGGTTGCACGCTCTCAAATCCACACACTAATTATGATGACTTAGTTTTCAGGTCTTAACAAGAATCAATTTGTCAATTGATCCCAGTTGGAGAATTTAGCAATAAAAACATGAAAACACTATTGTTTATATCTAAAGGTTCATTTAGATAAATCAAAAAATTATTTACCAAATGTAAACATTTATTGTGCTCGGAGTCTACAACAAATCAAACTTCCTTAGCAAAGTAATTCTTGACCCATCCTCATATTCCTAGAGTTATAATATTATGTGAAAAAATTGTAATCAACTTAAATAAGGAATAACTAGTTATTTGTCTCGCAGGGAAATTCAAGAAATTAAAATATAAGACACAACGATTCAAGAATCTTTACAGAGCAAAAATTTTAATAATAAACAAAAGCTAAATAAACAAAATATCACATATCATTAAACCATTAAATCAACAATATTACCGTACTTCATTGAGAGATTCTTCTCTAATTCTAGTCAAACCTCTAGCCAAACATAAGGAATTCTTAAAAAAAAAAAAAATTATTTAAAACTACAACAAAAGGAAAATATCAATCCCTCTCCCAGAATAATGATATTCTTTATATATCTTTTCCTAGCACTAGACAAATTCAAATCTAACTCTACTGTCAGAGTCATCATCCTTCGTTAACATGCGTCCGGACGCAACAAATCTACTATCTGGATGCACTTGACAATATACTCTAATTCATCAACATGCTTCCGTCTTAACATTCTGGCAACACCATTTGGATGCAATAGCACTCTCTGTTGGACGCGGATTCCAATAACTCCATCCTGAATTGTGGCTCTTCATCTACCATTATAACTCTCATTTTTTATCACTTACTTGCAAAACAGATATACTTTTTTCATTATTATTATATCATCAAATCTTTAATAAATCACTACCTCTATCACCTTTTTCCAAAACAAACGATTAATTTTACCCATCAAATTATTACATTTTTCAATGATAATCACTGACTATCAAATTCTGCAAGATCCGTATGTGTAGTGCATGTGCATCAACATGCTTATGGTTTCTTTTATGAAAAAGATAACACTGTTTAGAAGTCAAACATGCATGAATCACTACCAGCTAAAGGATAATCATGTACATTCATTCCAATTAAAGAAAACACGCACACGCACACGCACACACACACACACAATGTCAGAGAGAGAGAGAGATGGCAAAACCCTGAAGTTGTAATCTGTGGGGCATTCTGGAATGTAGGCCACACATTTAAGTAATGAAAAGGCCCACACTGGATGAAAGCATTTAATATCACAACGACCATCATCCCCTCTGCTACGATTCTGCTCCATAATCTCCCTACAAAAAAACTGATCCCGACCCTCCCTCCCATCTTAAATAATCAGCTCAGTACCCATATTTAGGGGTTTTTTGCAATCTGATTTTCTCAAGCAACTGTAATTTTTTTTTCACAAGTTATAAATTAACTTTAAAATTAATAATTTAATTTTTAATTCTCATAATCGATCACAATATTGTAAAATTAATCATACACCTTTGTCAAATTGTAATTTACAGTTCAAAAGTTTGTAATTTTATCTTAAAAGATAATGATATCTATTACGACAGCATCGTGAAAAGTCAAGCAAAAAAAAAAGTCAGTGATATGTACCTTTAACCATGCGAAACTCTGTTTGGTCAAGACCTCATGTTGATTGTTGAATAGACAAGAACTTCAATAAATCGGGGTTGAAGCTTGAACGCAATTGACCTTTTGCTCTTCAATATAAACTAACAACTGTGCACACTTTGTGAGTGTATTTTAATTAATTTTATATTTAATTTGGTCAAAAATAAATTATTCAGTGTATTATAGTGACGTGCTCGACACCGATACATATCTAGACAAGTGGCATAACGCAATTTCTGCGGCTGTGCCCAGTTGTAGGAAGTTATTGCTCTTCCTGCCTCGTTCAGCCGCCAAGAATCGGTCAAACCCACAAGGTTTGACCCAAAAAAATTTCCACGGTCAAAACTCGTTTTCACCTTAGAAGAAGCATGAAAATCTTAACCCAAACCGCAAGGCATATCCTCCATGAGAGCATTGTCTCCTCTCTTTTAAATATCTTCTCACCCACTTCCCAACCTAGTCTACATCTCTCTCTCTGTCTTTCTCTCTTCCCTTTAACATATGGCTTCTTCAGGTGGCAGCTTGAACACTTCTGTAAACTCTCGCCCCAGCTTCTCTTGGTCAAACCAAGTCATGGATTCTTTTTTCAGTGACCTTGTTACTAGTAATGAGGATATGAATTGTCTTAACCAAGTCCGACCCTCATTTAGTTGGGGATTGTCCGACCTAAATGATCCAAGTGGCATTGAAATTTCGAAATTCAAGTCATTTCCACCTCCTTTTCTACCCTTCTCTCCTCCTCCTGTTTCTCCTTCATCTTTCCTTACCTTTCCACCTGGTTTAAGCCCAACAGTGCTCTTGGACTCACCTTCTCTTCTTTCTTCTAAAGTAAGTTCGCAACCCTTAATTCATTGTTCTTCATGTTCTTAAATAAGCAGTATATAGCGATATATACACTATTTTACTATCCTCAGCTTGAGTTCCAATAGAATATTGTTATTTGGACTCATGTTTGTCTCTATATGTTGATATGTATTTATAGGTTCTTCCATCTCCTACTACTGGGACATTTGATGGTCTGGCCTTTAAGCAGGAGGGCAGTAACTATTCTGGTTTCTCTTTCCAAGCCCAAACAAGGCCTGCTACATCTTCATCATCCATATTTCAAACCTCTGCACACAAGATTTCACCGGTTTGTTTCGCCCTTTGTCGTTTTCTTTGATTAGCTAATAGGAGAATTTGGTCTCTTTCTTGTTTCAGTTCCATTTGATGATAAGTTCTTTGAAATTTCGTAGAGTATAGGTTAACATAGAAGGCCAATCCTCAAGAATCATCTTGTCACAATTAAGCTTATTAATTCTCATTTATACCTCATCCATGCTCATAATCAAATTTACTCGGAAGAAAAATATTCAACAAAAACCAGTTTTGAACAATATGTTGCTTTGACGATAGGTAATTAAATCAAGAATGATAAATATCTAGTGAACTCTAAACATTAATCGTGCTGAAAGAACTGTCGATGAAAAATCAAAGTATACACGTAAATACTAGTTTTCAAAAGTGATTTTTACCATTTCTCACTGAAATTCACATTAACAATCAGATCAAAAACTGGATTTTTTTTTTACTTTCGCATGTAAAGAATTTCTCTTTTGGTTTCTTGATTTTGATTGTTCATAAAATTAATATTCCAATCAAACAGGAAGAATCATTAAGAAGACAAGCAGAAGGATTGAATGCCAGTAAACTGAACAATCAAATGGAATTCTCGCGGGGGAAACCGGGGGTGAAATCAGACTTAGCGCCAGCCCGGAGTTTCTCCCCAGAAATCATTACAGCAACACAAACAAACATGCAGAGTAGTGCTGCTCCACAATCAAGCCATGTTGTCCACACGCAACCATCTCAGTATATAAGAGAGCAAGGGAGATCGAGCGATGGGTACAATTGGAGGAAGTATGGGCAAAAGCAGGTGAAAGGAAGTGAGAATCCACGCAGCTATTACAAGTGCACTTACCCTGACTGTCCTACAAAGAAAAAGGTTGAGAGAACATTGGATGGACAAGTTACTGAAATTGTATACAAGGGATGCCACAACCATCCCAAGCCTCAATCTACAAGAAGATCATCTTCACAATTATATCAAACACCTGGCTCCACTACTATCTCAGAATTTCAAAATCAATCACACGGAATACATGGAAATGCACAAATGGAATCTGCGACAATGCCAGAAAATTCAGCAGCTTCCTTTGGAGATGATGACTTTGATCAAGGCTCTCCAATGAGCCATTCAGGGGATAACAATGAAAATGAGCCCGAGGCCAAGAGATGGTATGATCTATAAAAAATAAAACGTTTCACTAGTTTGAGCGCCATGTTCCATGTTCATCTGATGGTAATTCAGATGTGTTAAAATTGTTCTTTGTCCCTTTTTCAGGAAGGGAGAGAATGAAAATGAGGTTATATCAGCTTCTGGCAATCGAACTGTACGAGAGCCAAGGATTGTGGTTCAGACTACAAGTGATATTGATATCCTTGATGATGGGTATAGATGGAGGAAGTACGGGCAGAAAGTTGTCAAAGGCAATCCCAATCCAAGGTAAATACTTCATCTTGTAAAATTTCAATTCAATAAGAGTTCTTCAGAGCAAATCAAGAAGGAAATAAGAAAAAGAACATGGGTGAAAGTTAATCAAGAACAAAATAACTTCTTATTGCTGCTAGAAATCTAATTTGAACGTCTTGAATCTCATTTTCACCACTTTCCCCTGCCACAGGTGAATCTATTGAGATTTTTTACCAGAACGCGATTAGTTTTTAAGATCATTTCCGGCTTTTGGCCTTTTTTGAGTTAGTCCTGGTAAAAATCCCAGGCAGCATATTTTTTTCAAACAAAGTCCTCAGTAACGTGATATAAATACTCCTTAGGATTTTCTAGGTGCTCATTCTGTTTGGGCTTGTAGTTTAATGAGTCGGATGTAATTCTTATGTTTCTTATCCTCAGGAGCTACTACAAATGTACATATATGGGATGTCAAGTGAGAAAGCATGTGGAGCGAGCATCCCACAATCTGGGAGCTGTGTTAACCACTTATGAAGGCAAACATAACCATGATGTTCCTGCGGCTCGTGGCAGTAGCAGTTACACGGTGAATAGGCCTTCATCCAATATGAGCAATAACAATGCCCCCATAGCTACAAGGCCCTTGGCCATGACCAACCATTCTAACCACTTAACAAATTACTCTAATTCCCTTCACAATACAAGTCTAGCAGCAACACAAAGTCAAGCACCATTCACTTTACAGGGGTTGCAGAGCCCAAGGAGTTTTGGGTTCTCGGGTTTCAGTAACTCGGCAGGTTCCTACATGAATCGGACACAACACATTGATAATGCCTTCTTTGCAGCCAAGGAAGAACCTAAGGATGACTCCTTTTTTGCCTCATTTCTAAACTGAGATTGCTCAGGAGTGAAACCTATGAAGAAGTGAGGTTTCATTTTCATATCCTTATTAGGGTGGTTGTGCAAAAAATGCACACGCATTCAGCTCAGTAAATGTCATACATTTATTTCCACTTGTTTATTTGGTTTGGGGGACTTTGAACCTTGAACAAGGGCCCTTATTACTTTTTTTGCATTGGACAATGAAAGTAGAATGGAAAAAGGGGGAGGAAAAATTATTCCCAGTCAAACAAAAACAACGCGCAACAGGCTCCCTGCTCCTAGTCACTAAGTTAGTCACTAAGTCAGCCCCTGATCTCTCTCTCTCTCTCTCTCCCCGCCAATGACATAATCAATTTTTTTTCTCAAATCACCAAGTAAAAAAGTTCACTGAAATGTCCCTTTGGCTCCCTTTTCTTCTTAATGCTAAGAGGAATTGAGGCCCAAAGGACTTTTGTTGAAAACTGTCTAAAAAGATACCTTTTGATCATACCTGTAAAAAGACATTTTTGGATCATACCTGTAAAAGGCTCCAACAAAGTTTATGCATATCATAATTCCTTTGGACTAACTGAAAACTACAAATTGAGTTTAAAAGCTTTCAGAGAGAAAGAGAGAGACTACTAATTTCATTTTATAAAATGAACCTTCCCTTGGAAGAACAAATACATGAAGAGTGCCAAAGGCCTATGAACTTAAACACAAATTTACATGTGTCAAATTTATCGTGTAGAATGACAAATGAAGCAATAACAACTTCAAGAATAGAAAAGCAAAGTATAGCTCATTTAGATATAAGATTGGTTAGAAAGCTTATAGCCAGAGATGAGAGCCGAGAATGCAAGTGAGAGGAACGCCAGGAATTCCATGCTGATGGCTGCTGCAGAGGAGTCTGTAAAAATGTTGTCCACATTCTCTCTCATACTATTCGTCAATGGAACCGCAGCTGATGCTGATGATAATAACAAGTATGCCACAATCTGCAAACCCAGAATGTTTTAATCTCAAATGCCAGTTTTCAACCAACATGCTCACCATATAAATTGAAATGAAGACAATGAACTTTCCAACAAACAAAAAATTTTATTTGGTTAGAAAGAAATTGACGATACAAAATGAAAAAGGTAGAAAGTGAAGTGGAAGAAAGGAAATAGTAAAGAAAATTTATTTTCTTGTATGTGTTTGATTAGAATGAAAAGTTGGCTAAAAAAATTGGTGCTAGGATTAAATTATCCTTATCATATCAATTTAACGGGGAAAAGAGAAAGTAGGCAAAACTGGAAAAATAAGGCAACTTTCACAGAAAACAAAAAATTTCCCGCACAATTTATAGGAAACCAAAGTAGATATTTACGGGAAAATTTATCGCTCGAGAGAAAAAAAAAAAAATT